GCATCCAGATTCAGCCGCGGTTGAAACTGATCAGTTTCAGCAGCGGCTGACGCCAGTTCCGACTTACATACAGATTCAACTTAAGAACAAACCTACAGTCCCTATCTTGTATGTAACCCGGGGACTGCCTGTATCTAAAAGGGTGTTACAAGGAGAAGAGAGAAAAATTGTTCTTCTTGGTCTCTGACAATAGGACAATAAGCAATGGGCTTAAACACTGGAATAAATTGCCTAGGGGGTTTGTGGAATCTCCATCCCTCAACATTTTTAAGGGCAGGTTAGATAAACATCTGATAGGGATGATCTAGATTAGGGGTGGGCAATAATTTTTGAAGGGGGGAGCCACGTCACAAATTTTGGAAGTGGCGGCAGGTGGACTTGGAAGGGGTAGTGCCTGGAGTAGAAGGGGTGGGGTTGAGAGCTGCCCTACTGGGAGCTTTGCTTGGCCTGGGGTCCTTTCCTCCCCCTCCCCCCCGACTTCTGGCCAATGGAAGGGACCTGGAGCAGATGGCAGGTGCTGGGAGCTAGCCTGCTCCTTGAGTTGCCTGGGGTGGAGGCCTAGAATTCACATAACATGGCTGGCTGCTCCTCCGCTGCCACCCGGCCAGCAAAAGCCCTTTTTGAACAGAAGCAAGTGCAAGGGCTCACGCCAGTGGGACCAAGAGCTGCGAGCCCTTTCTGTTGCTCCTGTTTGAAGGGTTTGCGCCTCCCGGGTGCCTATCAGGCAATGCAACCACCCAGCAGGCACAAGCCCTTTAAATAGAAGCCGTTGAAAGGGCTCCCCCATCCCCAGCTCCCTAGCAATGTGCTAGAGGCGCTGGGAGCCCTTTCAACTCCTCCTCGCTAAAGGGCTCACGCCTTCCCTGGGGCTGCTAGGCAAGGCGCGGGGAAGACACGAGCCTGTAAATAGAAGCAGTTAAAAGGGACTGCATGGCTCCAGCTCCCAGGCAATGTGCTGGGGGGCGGGGCTTGGAACCGCCTCACGGGCCAGATCAAAGCTTTAGGTGGGCTGGATCCAGTGTGCTGAGAGGCTTTTGGCCACCCCTGGTCTAGATGGTTCGGTGAGGGCAGGGGACTGGACTCGACCTCTCAGGGTCCTTGCCAGTCCTAGTGTGCTAGGGTTCTATGTGCTGCCAGCTGGTTGGGGGAGATTTCTTTTTTCCTCTTTTCAAGAGCTCATCCTTCCTACTCTTATACTCCCCATAGAGCGACACAGAATACACAGCTCTGTGTTTTGTATGGTGATAGTGGTTAACATCCTAAATCCAAGGTGGTTTTTCTGAAGCAGTGATAAAGAAACTACTTGCAGAAGGGGGAACCGTCACTCCAGAAGCGAGATCATGGTCTAGTTACTAGCAGCTGAGCTCACCTTCAAAAAGCAGTTCGAGGGAGGAGTGGTCCTGCCTTGAACATGTTGTTTTCACTGGCTAATTCTACAAAAGACATTAAAATGTGAAGATTGTAAATCATGAGCTGGTTGGTGTTTATGCACCTTTAACTCTGCCCCTTATGTGTGCAATACAATACCATCTTCATGTGATCACAGGCCCCCTTCCAGTCAGTGTGACTGATGACTATGCTGTTAGTGCAGCATCTTTTTTTGTATTTTTATCCTCTTGTATTTCCCCCTCCCCTGTATTTTCTACTGCACACCATGCAACCTCTGAATTCAGTGAGGCGGGGCCCGATGGATTCCTGCCACTTACACCTCACCTCTATTTTGTCCATTATATCCCATTCAAATTCTAAAGTGAATAAAGGCAGTACCTTTCTGAGCCTAGCTTTATTTACCATTCAGTCTGTGCATGGAATAAAGCAGGGCTTTTATGCAAAAAATAGACTCTGCTTGTGTAAATGAAGTCTGCACAGCAATGTAGTCTCACAGTTGGGCAGAGATAGAGAGTCACAGATAGCACAGAAATGTCCAAATTTTTGAGCCACTTTGTAACCATAATAGGCCTAAGGGTTTTTTGATAGAATTTCCTAGTTTGTTTTTAAAGGAAGAATTATCCAAAATTACACCATGTAACTGATTGAAGCAGAATGCCAGCACAAAGAGTGCACGCAAAGAGACGAGGGGTCTGAGATGGGATTGCCTTGAATCCCTGCTTTCTTCCACTTACACCAGTCCAGTGTCTATCCCACAAGCACTTGCATGTTAAAACATACTCCACTCACCTTTCCTACTTGTGCAAATTCAGTACCGAGAGGTTCTCCAGTCAGTGGAAATGTCCCTAAAGTTGCACATCCAGAGACCAGGACAGCAGTGCAGGGACAAATTTAGGTCTGTTGTATATAAACTAGTGTTCATGTGTAAAGTACTTTTTTTCAAACCTTCAAAGCAGTTAAATCAAACCGACTTTTTACTGGGCCACTAGGTCATAGAGAACATGCATCTGACAAAGTGGGTCTTTGCCCACGAAAGCTTATGCTCCAATAAATCTGTTAGTCTGAATCTGCATAAGCAAGAAGTCCTGTGGCACCTTATAGACTAACACGGCTACCCCTCTGATTTAGGTCACAGCAACTGCAGTCCAGATTTTTAAAGGTATGCAGGCGTTGTTGCATTCATCATTGCAAGGCTTAACTGCTTTAGGAGCTGATATTTTCAAAATGATTATTGCAGTGCAGCCACACCTCAGATCTTTAAACATCTGTCCCTGTCTAATTTCAGTGTCTGACACTGAAGTGATAGAGCTCCTTTAAAAAAAGTATGTAAACAAACACTCTTCCAGCCAGCATAACTGCATTCTTCCTCTTCTCAAATGACTGAACTGTTTTTGTTCAAACTTCCCAAAACCCCATTCTAAGGCCAGGCCTACTCTAGGGGGCAATGTCGAACTAAGGTCCGTAACTCCAGCTACATGAATAGTGTAGATGGAGTCAACATACCTTAATTTGACTTACTATGGCATCCCCACTGCAGATCAATAGGAGAAACTCTCCCATTTACTCCCCTTACTCTTTTTGCTCTGGTGGGAGTCACAGAATCAATGGGAGCATGATCAGGAGTTGTTTTAGCAGGTCTTTACTAGACCCACTAAATTGACTCCCAGTAGATCGATCCCCACAGTGGTGAGTGTAGACAAGGTCCAAGACCAATAATTATACAAATGTCAGTCCAAAAAATAGGAGTTTGACAAAGTTACCAGCCCCTGGAGAGGCTATATTCTTCCAATTATCAGCATAATTAGTGCCAAAAAACACCTAAAACCCCCAGTGTGATGTAAAAGTTCAAATACAACAAGTATAAGTGTTCCTTCACCATCCCCCGGATTACAGCAACTATACACAAACATTGCACTCCAACAGATTTGTTTCTACTCATTTGCCAAGACATGTTGTAGTTGAATATAAAAATCAGAAGGCATCAAGCAATTCACTGTGAATGTGGAGGAAGCAGAAACACTCCAAAGAGAGCCAAGCTTGTGATTAATATTTGGCTATCTCTTGAAGTAACACACAATGTTGTTCCCATCTGCCAGTCTGTGAGGTAATGACAGATGTCTCCTTGCAGATATAATAGCCCAGCCAATTATAGCAGTAACTCTCAGCATTGAGTGACCAGGTGGGTATGGACCCTTTTTTGTGAATCAACAGGACAGTTTTGCTTGCATTCTCTCTATGATTAAGAGGGTTAAATGAAATGGAATGTCTGGAATTAAAGGTTTATTTAAATATGTAGATGACTTTTCATTCATGGTTACAAGATCAATATTCGCTTTCCAGTGGAAGCATTTTATTTGGTTCAATTCTGTGTCCAGAAATGAATGGGTAGTATCAGAACCTTTTACAATGGCAATGAAATCACAACACGTGAGATGCCACCAAGAACTAGAATTCAGTGCGCAAACACATACACACACACACACACAAATTTAAAAAGTGCTCAGCATCATGTTAAAATATAATTTGGCTTCTTTTAAGTCTTTTGACACTTCAAGCAGGAAAAAAAAAAATCAATATGCAACCATCCAAAAAGAACTTTTGAAAAATATTCATGATTAAACACAACTTTCAGTATCACTAAATAGGTTTCTTTTCTTCTGTTATTTACAGATGTTAAGAAAGGGCATTAGAAGCATTGTTTTGCTTGGGACAATGGTGAGTTTCCATGTTAGAGTGTGTATAATCACACTTCAGTGTGATCTTAGTGAATTCAAGCAAAGTTTTCATAAACCAGTCATATGGTTAGAGAAACGGGGGAGGGAAGGGGGAGGTAACACAACCTTTATTAGACCAGCTTGAGAGACAAGCTTTCAAGCTTACATGGAGCTTTTCAGGTATGGCCTCGCCCATCTGGTGAGTCTAATATCCTGGGACCAACACAGCTAGATCAACACTAAATATCATATGTCTTGTGTTTAATCTGTCTTATTTGTTTTAAAGTTAAACACTATCACTTACCTACTTCTTACTCTGAATACATATAGCAAAAGAAATAGATCAAACCTATAGTACCTGACTGGTGGCAGTTTCCTTGTCATCAGTTTTAAGGTCCAGGCTTTCTGAAATGGGGCAGCGGGTTTATAAAAACTCCACAGACGGTCTTCTAATAAATCCCTTTCAAAGAAAATCAGATGGCATGGCCAAAGCTAATTTTTCTAAAGCACTAGGTAGAGCAACACTGACATTGGAATAGTTCAAATGTTCCACAGAGGCTGACAATAATATACTGTCCACCTAGTTTAAATATATAAAAGAAAACTCTCTCATTTTTACATAGATGGCACAAAAAGGGTGAAAATCAGCTGATTCTCACTGCTGATTCAACAGTGCATCAGACACGAATAAATACTGCAGCTAAAAATATTTGTAGATATTTGCATGCCTGTTGGCTGCTTAACCAATTTAGATCCCCTGATAGAGAGATATGCTGATCTTGAAATGCAAATGAATGATCACACACTTATGTTACAGTTCTGCATTACGACATTATAAGAGCAAATTGCGCACATGGTGGATTTTATTCTGGTATCAAAGACATGGATCTAAAGAATGAAGCGAACATAGTAGCAGCAGTGGTATAGATGGCAGTTGAGCTGATTCTGACCCTTCGGGCTGTGACAACATTGCAACTGAAGGGCTTCGGAGGTTTCTGAGTTTATACCATCTGCTTAGATAATGCAGCCTCCTGGCCTATGTTAACTTGATTAAAAAAATTGTCGTCTTGCTTGCTGATGCTTATACTTATTAAGCATGATGAAGCATTAGCTACAGTATCAACTGTAGAAGTGAAGGACTCTCTGGTATTAAAAATATAGATTTTTTTTATTATTTTAAGAGGGACAAAGTTGTGAACACAACATTTAACCTACCATAAAGACAACCATCTCATCCTGAGACAGGAAGAGCTAGGTGTTACTGTACATAAAGACTCTTGGATACTATATTTTAATATTGCCCCTTCTCACAAGAAAAGGGACAGCATTGCAACAGACATGGCCTGCCTGCAAACCAAAGCTGACAGGTTTCATTTTAGGGCCATTAGCCACAAGACCATTCATTTTAAATCTCTCATTCTAGGCCAGGGATGGCCAACCCATTACAGATGAAAAACCAAAATAGTGGTGGATGTAGCACAAAGAGCCAAGAGAAAAAAGTTGTTGAGCCACACACACAAAAAAAAAAACCAGCCACTGCATTTTTTTGAGCAAAAAAAGAAAGAAGGGGGGAGGGGGGGGGAGGGCCCAGCTGCAGCCCTTTTAAGAACAGAACAGGCATTGCCGTTTTCGGGTTGACTACCCCTATTCTAGGCCTTCTACAAAAAGTCCAGAATATTTCTGAAGAGGTGCGGATTTTCTGAAGAGGCCTTGGAGAGCTGTTCTTATTTTCCACTGGCTGCTGTTACACTAGGTTTGAGGAGGTGTATGATTACCACAATAGCCTAGTAATGTGAAGATTCTGTAAGGAGGAGGAGTCAGAAATTCATAGTTGTAGGAGCTTAGAAAACAACTAACCCCTCTTGAGTGAGTTTAGCTCCACATCAGCCTGATATCTGGAAGCAGCATAATTTCTTCCACAGTAGATCAAGGATGAGGTACAGCACCACCATCAAAATGTTTCTCCTTTAAATAAGATCACATGACAACATGATGGTCGATACACAATGAAGAATTCCTGTTTGAAACGCCCAGGCAAAGGTCTAGTCCGTGGCAAGATGCAGAGGGGAGTGGAGAGCAGGTAATTTTATTTTTTAAATGTAAGTTCTGCTATTCGAATATTCTGAGGAGAGTGTGCAGGAGCCCATGCAAAAGGAGAAGGCAGGTTAAAAGCTAAAACACTGGAAAGAGGTTAAGCACAATGAGCTGCAAAGTGATGCGACTGTTAGGAAGGTATGCGCAGGCAAGGCAACAGGGCGAGCATGCAGGCTGAAACAAGATTCAAATGGAGGTCTTGGTGATGGGGGAAATGTGGCTTCAAACCCAAATACCTGGGTATGTGTTTGCGTGGGACAGGGCACAGGAAAGCAAGCATACAGATACAGCAAGGCCAATGGGATTGAGCTCTTCGAGGGAGCACCAGCCATTTAAAAAATGGTGGAGTGACATTTGGGACTCCTTATGGAATATGTAATATTGAATATCAGGCATGTAAAACTGAACAATCAAATTCAGTGTCCAATTCAGCTGCTGTCATATTATTATTGTAACTGGCTTTCCACTTCTATGGATCTCCTTCCCTGGCTGTCTGATGAGCATATCTGCAGGATTAGCATTAAAGGCACCGTGTGAAATGCTGATGGACCAGTGCATACATTCAGATGGACTGAGGGCCACTGGAGAACAGAATCCCAACTGGCACATGCGTGGGACTCTCTGGTTACCCTTGGCATCAAAATGCAGCCAGCATCCTGTCTGGTTGTGGGGAGGGTGGTGGGAAGCGGGGGCTTGTTGGTGATGCTCTATGGAAGGACAATGCCCATTTGGCAGAACAATGGGGAATGTCAATAAGTTAGTTTGAGCCACAAGTAACATGCCATAAAAAAGAGCAAGCGGCTGTGTAATATTGGGATGGAATTTAGATTCAGCTTTTTCAAGTGCTAACTCCAGACCAGACCAGGAGTCTGTTTATGTGGGTGAATTTTAACTGCCTGCGGGGTGAACAGACCATTTGTTTCTCCTTCTGTGACAAGCTCGCCCCAGGTTCTTGCACCAGCACAAACACCTTTAGGAATCTAAAACATAAGAGACAAAAAGAGAGACTCGGGTTAGAAAGAGGCAGGAGGAAGGGCTCGCCCAAGAGCGGCACTGCTTGGGGGAGGTTCAAAGGGGAGGATAGCACAAAGAGCATTTATCAGGTTGCATCATAAAAGGGTTAAGAGAAGCTCTAAGTCAGGGAGTAGCTTTGGCCAGAAACTACCCTTGTTCACAGAGTCAGCCACCATGGAGGTAACTCTGCCCTTGGTGATCCCCTAGCCTCAGGCTGGAGCTTTATCTCGAGCACAGCTCTCTTCTGGTGACCAGCTGGGATGCAAAATTCAAGAATGGATCCCTACCAATGTGGACTCTGTATTGTTTATACCATTGTTTAGGTTGTATCAGCAGGGGAGCAGTGGGTGGATTTGGTCAGACCACAATTCCCAGTGACACTGAACTCCTGCTTGAAGGCCAGTGGGATATTTTTATACCTGGGTAAAGCATTTTGCAGTGATTAAAACACACACATTCAAAGAAAGCTGAGAGTTCATCAAGCAATAAACAATGAAGACCCTTCATACTGATGGGAAGTCAAGAAAGCAACAGGAGAGATGCAAACATTCCTATTTAAAAAATGTGATGAGGTATATTATTGTAAGCACACTAGATCTGGGCCAGCACTAACTTTCCCCAAATGTTCAAGGGTGTTTGGTTTGTCCCTTGAGGAGAAAGAACAAAGGGTGAATTTCCCTATACATGAGAGCACATTTGAATCTGAATTATGGTTCAGAATTATGGTCTCCAATTTTCATAAAGAAAAGGAAAAACAAGGAGGAAGAGGTAACTTTAACAACTCTGCAGTGTGAGCTCTTTCTTAAAATGTAATCACATCCTTACTGCTACAAAGTGCTTTTTAAAATCAGCAGCAGGCAAAGGGAGGGTTTGAACCACTTGTTTTGCATCAGAACAGGCAATGTGTTTATGTAAATAATCATTAAAAAAACCAACAAGAATGAAAAAATAAGTTTATTAGAGGAAGAGATGGTACAGCTAGCTCTGGGGAGAACTCTCACCCAGTAGATGAGTTTTCTTTAATGAATAAGAATAGAAAAGGAACAATCACATTGATCAGATGTAACAAACGTTATCACAGAACACAAGTTTCTATAAAAGTCCAATCAGAGGCAGGCAGCAGGAAACATAAGAAAAGTTATCGACTTAACCACTGAATAAGACGTCTTGTTATCAAAACAAAGATAGGGTTAAGCAGTAGAACAGAAAATAAAACCATTTTAATGTGTGTATCTATATAAAATCAAAATTCAAGTAACTTTTGTTATTAAGTTATATTATATAAAAGTTATTCTTTTTATGGAGAATATTTTTATGGACAATATTTAACAAATGGAATTAAATCAAAAGAGATGTCAAAATCCGGTTCATAATTACTATCTCCTAAATATTTTGGCAAGTGTTAAGTAATCATATTATAGATCCTAGAAAAGTGCTTCAGTGTGGTTAAAAAACAAATCAAGAACTGGGGTTACAATTGTGAATAAATAGCAAAGCTGCAATGAAGCCAGAATCCTAGAGCTGTCCATAGATTTATTTACATACAATGGGGAGAATGGAACCAACACTAGCTAGATCACTGAAATACTAATCAAACTGTGGCCCCAACATTTGTTTCAAGAAATAAAACCTCTGAAACAGGCTCTATTCATTGTTTGTCACCCATACAGGCAATATTTCTAGGGGAAGTGAACAGATCATGTTTGGGAGCAGCTACTCTAATACTAAGAGGACATGTTTTTGTAACTTCTTTTGATTATCAGTCTTTACTCACATAAAGACAGTTTTGTTCTTAAGCAGACTAGGAATTTCTAATACTGCCAGACTGGATCAGACCAGAATATTCATCAGCTGTCAGTACCAGATACTTCAGCGGAAGGTGCAAAGAACCCTGCAGCAGGCAGTTGTAAGATAATCTTTTCAAAGAGGAATTTTATTCCTAACCCCCTAAAAAGAATCCTTGAAACATCCGGATTTATAGTCAATATATTAAATTCCTTGTTCACACATGTAAGTATCCAGCATTAACGGAAGCTGCATGTGTGCACCTTAAGGAGACTGGATTATTTCTGTACCATTTCTTTACATTATGTTACAAGGGGAAGGGAAAATTGTTCTTAAGCAAAAGAAGAAAAATGCTGCAAAACCTGTAAGGACTTTAGTTTATGGGTCAGTAGCATTTTTCTTTTTAATAATTCTTCATTGGCCAAATGTAAACACTTCCACTGATATGGTATCAGATCCAAATGAAATATTACCCAAGTCTAGTGGCAACAGAAAACCTGCTTTGTTTTTAAACCCGTTGAAAGTTCCTTTAAATACTTAAGACTGATCTCTTAATAGCCATTTTTATAGATTTTAACTAAATCAAGGAAGTGAGTTAGGCCTGGATCTTCAAATATATTTAGGCTCTTGACTTCCATTAAAGCAACTGGAAATTAGGATCTTAGATGTCTTTGAGGTTATGGGCCTTAAAATGTACTTTTATTGCATGTACTTTTGCTTATCTGTACATGATGTGTTGTTTGCATTTGTATTTACTGAAACTGCATGTCTATTTTCTTAAAGACAACACTCAAAAATAATTAGAAAAAAAAAATCAAGAAAACTTAAAAAAAATTACTCAAATGGCCAAAGGCTAAGACAAAAATGAGTGCAAGTCTATGTCTAACTCTTATGCAGCACACATGATGTGCAAGAGGATACAGGTTTATTATTACTATTTGCACAATGCCACCAGTGTACTAGATTCTTTGCTAGGTGCCAACTGTGCACAAGGACTGGGAGTTCCCTTCAATACCCTCATACACTTGGGTGAGCTAAGAACACAGTTGCAGCCTTTATTACCAATTTTCTTGCTTTTGCTGGCTTCAGTCAATAGTGTTTCACCTGCCCTTAGACACCTGGGCATGTTCTGATGTGTATCCCACCAAACCTGCTGCTCCGCTCTTGTGCAACTGGCTTCATAAACTGCTCTGCGGATGTCTATGAATGCCAGTGTATTTGAGGGGAGGGGTGAACATTTGTTATTTTGAGGTGGGTTTTTAAAATACTGTAACTCAC